AGGAGGCTGAGGCAGGAGGATCAGGAGTTCAAAGCCAGCTTCATCAACAGCAAGGCACTAAGCAACTCAGTGAGACCCTGTCTCTAAACAAAATACAAAATAGGGCTGGGGTGTGGCTCAGTGGTTGAGTGCCCCTGAGTTCAATCCCTGGTACCAAAAGAAAAAAGAAAAGAAAACCACACAATTAAATAGCAACCATGGCGCTGCAAAAGAGAAACCTTTTTTTTTAGTTGTAGATGGACACAGTACCTTTATTTATTTTTATGTGGTGCTGAGAATCTAACCCAGTGCCTCACACATGCTAGGCAAGCACTCTGCCACTGAGCCACATCCCCAGCACGAGAATGAGGAATTTATTATGTATTAAGAGAGCCAGGCCATAGTAAATAGAAAAAGCCATGTCCAAATCAGTACACTACCCTCTATGTACGTTAAATGAATAAAAAGATTTTTAAAGGATCCAAATTTCTATTTGATTTTTGCATTTTGTATAAAAGGAATTCCTAGAAAAATAAATAAGAAACTGATATAGGTGTTACCTGTAAAAGCCAGGCTGGGGGGTGGGGGTTCTTAAGGCATGGGTGGGATCAGGACAATGTCTTTTTGTGAGTTTTTAACTTCTCAATCATGTGCATTACCTATTACACGTTAACATATTAAAAAAATAGAACTTAGAAAAAAATAGCAGTGAGCTTCCTTTCCACCTATTCCAACTACTAACCCACTTAAACAGATGCAGTGGCTATGCATCAAGAAATGACACTGCAGACTAGGGTTGTGGCTCAGTGGCAGAGCACTTGCCTAGCATATGTGAGGCAGTGGTTTTAATCCTCAGCACCACATAAAGATAAATAAATAAAATTAAGATATCGTGTCCATCTACAACTAAATATATATAATATAATATATATTATATATATATATATATGACTCTCCCCAGCTGCTGTGGAGATTACTGATACTTCCACAGAAAGAAGAAATTACATAAACTCTTACCACTTCTGCGAATGGTGAGGAGGGCTAATGCTTTCATAAATGAGCTAATGGTTTGATAAATAACATTGAATTTTCCCTACAAAATAATACATAACACGTTTTTTAAAGTTACCAAATGAACCCATTGGGTAATAGAAGAAATGACAGATTCTCACCAGTAGGGGCACTGACACAGGCAGGAGGGTGAAGCAGAGTGATCTCAAATTTGAAGTCAGTCTGGGTATGTTAGGGATACCCTGCTTTAAAATAATAATAATAATAATAATAAAATGGTCTAGGGATGTAACTGAAGAGGTAGTATGCTTCTTGGCCTAGCATAGGCCAAGCCCAGGGTCCAAACCCCAGAACCAAAAAAGAAAAAAGAAATGTCAAATTTTTAAAACAAGATAGCACTTTGCCTGATGTAGACAGAACACACTGAGGAAAAGCCAAAGTTGTAGAAGAGCCAGGTGGAAGCAGGTGTGGTGGTACACAACTGTAATCCCAGCAGCTCAAGAGGCTGAGGCAGGAGGATCCCAAGTTCTTCTAAACAGAACTTAGAAAAAAATAGCAACTTAGGCCCTAAACAACTTTGTGAGACCCATGCCTCAAAATAAAAAATAAAAAGGGGGTGGAGATGTGGGGGATTTGGCTCAGTGCTTAAGCGCCTCTGGGTTCAAACCCTGGTACCAAAAATAAATAAAAAGGCTGGGTGAAGGAGATACTAGATAACAACTGGTTAAAATTCTGTCCATGTTCACAGGGGAACACAGTGGTTTTGTTGTTTCCCTTCCCCCTTTTTTACTTTGAAAGCCAGAATGTTCTAACTGTTCCAGGTTTCTTCAAAGCTCTAAATAAATTCTAGCAGAACCTAGCAACAGAACAGTTACAAACTGTTAAGCATTAGCTCTAAACAATTTACCCCCAAATTGGTAGTAGGTATTTTTCCTCAGTGTATACCAGAGTTAACGTTTTTTTCTGTGGCCTGAAGAAAAAAATGTTAAAATATGTAAGTGCCTTTCAAAATATAAGCCTGCATGTTTACAGCATTTCCTTCAAATGAAATCTAAATTATTATATCATTCTGTAAATGTCTGTGATGCCCAGCTCCTAAATTAAAATTGAAAGTTTTAAAAAAATATATATTTTTGTATTTTTGGATTATTTTCAAATAGAAGGATCATGAAATAACACATTCAGTAGGACCAATGGGCATTTATTTATTTTTTATTTTTTTTAATATTTTTTAGTTGTAGTTGGACACAATACCTTTATTATTTATTTATTTATTTTTATGTGGTGCTGAGGTTCGAACCCAGTGCCTCACACATTCGAGGCAAGTGTTCTGCCACTGAGCTACAATCCCAGCCCTTTTTCTCTCTTCTCCGCTTTCTTTAACCACCATGGAGATCTCTAGGCTGCTTCAATCATAGCCTGTCATGGAGAGAAATTGTTACAGAAATCCTCTCATTTTACAGATCTGAAACTAAGGTGCCACCAGGGTTTCAGCATTTCACCAGTCACACCATCCTTAATGGCAAAGAAAAGAACCCATTCTGCCAAGTGACAATCCAACACTCCACAGGACCACACTACATTAGCATTTTAAATGATTCTAACACAGCCCTTCTTTTTATGAATGCAAGAACTGCAATTCCCAGAGAAAGGAGGCTAAGGTATCTTTCCCCACTCCTGATCCCTGCTGGGAAATCTGCACATCTAAATGCCAGCTGTCTTTTGAGATTTTAAAATAGAACTACCTTACTAAAGAGAGGGCTTGTTAAGGAGATGGAATAATGAATGACTACTGCATTTGCTTAAATTAAGAAGCTACCCATTGCAATCCATCTAGCCTGCCAGTGACCTGCATCTGTTTCCCTAAGAACACCCGAGAGGCAACAGTGACAAAAGTACCCATTTTTACTAATAGCTAAATTTTAAGCAGAAATTGTGACAGGCAAATATTTACCAACCAACAGGAAACACCTGCAGTCAGCTGCAAACTTTTACAACAGCAAAGGTACAGGAAGTAAGGCCACTATTTGCCTGACAGTCTTCCTTTTCAAGTCTCTTTACTGTCAAATGCGTTGTGAGGGCATGACCTTAAAAGTTTGTAATAAAATGGAAATGTCTTAAACACCCCTCGAGTTTCCCCACAGTGGTACACTTCCAGAGTAAAGCATTTGCCCAGCGGGATGTTACAGTCTGGGGTCTGCTAAACTGCATTTAAAATTCTAATCTAGCTCTCCACCAGCCACATCCTTTGAGAGGTTGGAATTATCAAACCCACCAACTCCAGTGGAACTGAATTCCACAAAGACAGAACAGACAAGGCAATTAGTCTTTCAGTTAAAAAATAAACAAGTGCAGTAAGGTAGCCAGAACACCTAAAACACCTAATTTACTTGACAGAATCTAGGAAACTAACTATAGATATTTTTAGGTCTGTTTTTGAAAGTAGGTAAAAACTTAGAATGATGCTAAATAGCTATCGTAGAAAAGCCATCTCCCCACGCACACTATTCCTTGAGTAGAATAATGAGAGGGAAACAAACTGTTTGACTACATGGATCTACCAATTCAAATTCCTAAGGATGGAAATGCTCAATCACACATCAAGTTAGCCAGTAAGGGATGGCTTTATAAATTCAAGTATGAAAACTGAAAACCGTATGACATCTACTGAGTATAAAACTAAGATAGGAATCTGGGAATAAAGGGAGAAATACCGAGTATCAAAGTAAGCGCCCATAAACCACTGAAACGCTGAGAATGAAGCCAGATTTAAAATTAGGCAGTCAGTGTAGTTAGGTAAATCGGGTCTAATATCCAGTGAAATCTAAAATGGAGGCCATGTTGAGAATGGATTTCCGGAAAAGTTGAACAACTCTTGAAATGTTAATGAAGTCCCAAGAAAAACCCTAGGCCCAAAGCCCCTCCCAAAGAAATGTTAATGAACAGCCCCAGCAGATTTGAAGATAGCCCATCCCAAGAAGTGTTAATGAAGTCCTTCCTGCCCAGATTACTTCTTAGGCCCACCGGTGTCCCACCCCTCGGGCATTCCAACCTACATTCCATCACTGAAAGAACTATAAAAAGGGGAAACAACCGCACTTCCATGGATTCCATCTCTTGGGTCCCCTTCTTCCTCAGGGAGAAGTCTTTTCTGCTGTCCTTTAATAAACTTCTAATTTTCCACTCTGACCTTGCCTCGGCGTGCTTCTCTGGTGTTATTCTTCAACATTGGGGAAGCAAGAACACCCATAAACAATTCCAACTCCTGAGCAGCAAGGCCTTAGCCCTGCACCCTTGGCCCATACTCTTTTAACTGAGGACAATGAGTAAGTGCAGGGAAAACTGATGTGAAACTGTGCAACTCCATTCTGGCCCCACATCTAGGCCAAGCCTAGCAAGCTTCCTCTATAAATAGTGCCCCACACCAACAGGCTGCTGACTCTCCTTCAGGAGATGGCCTGTCCACATTTGGGGTTCTGGTTACTTTATTCCAAAGGCATTTCTTGATATTGCCACCATTATCCCTAGAATATGTACCTACTTTCCTAAATGAACATAGGTCTATGTCTTCGTGGGAGCTGGAATTCTGTTCCTCCAGGTATGCCAAGAACTGTACTGGTCTGAGTCAAGTTCCCTTTTATAAGAACTCCCAACCCTTGGGGACATGTCTTCTCATTTCTCCAATAACTGTCATGAGAGAAGTATTAACTTGTTTTGTTTTATAGTGCAGACAATAATATACTGGCAAAGGGGCCAAATGTTTTACTCTGAAAAGGTGCCTTTGTGGGAAAATCAAGTTTGGTATTTAAAATATCTTCAATGTCAACAGAATTTGGTAAATAGGCATGTTTACCAATTTTAGTTTATAAGTATTTTGCTTTGATTTTTTAAAAACTGTTAGAAAATGCTTTTCTAGCTCCTGCCTTTTAAAAGTCCTAAATCTTCTCTGTCATGACAGTTTACAAGATGTAGCAAATCCCCCCAACAAAAAAGTCACAAAATCAACACTGTGAATATTTTAAAAGTTTATTTCTATTTTAACTAGCCCACAGACCCAACTTTTTGAGGGCTGAGTTGATTTCTTTCTAGCACATGGTCCGTGGACCCTCTTGATGGTCATTTTCTTTCCGCCTCCTTCCAAAACGCACCTTTCATCATGATGCACATTTTATGGTGAAATTGCCAATGCAACCCTCAAAATGCAAATTTATTGAATAAAGCTGAGAAGAGGAGTAAACAGACGAAAAATGCATCCACCTAAATAAAAAAATTCTGTATTTACAAAGTTCGGTAACTGTTAAGTTTTCACATGCAGAGGTTACGCACAGGAAAATGTTGGTAGTAGTCTTTCAATGTCTTGAAATGCTAAAAGCAATGAATAGACACACAAACAGGTTAAGGGTTAGCTATAGGTCCATTAACAAACCTACGCAGTTCCCGCGGAGTCACACATTCTAGTTCCAATTCCTCCTTTTAGGCACAAGCAAGTTGTCATATTGAAATGGTTCACAGTGACCATTAATGATGTCCAACTACAGTAGCAAGTTTGTCCCTTTGTTTACAGAACCACCCATCCCTTCTTGGAAGTATGCCACATGCCTCAAAGAATAAGAAGAGAACTTTGAAAGCACAAATTCTCCTTGTTTAAAATGTGAATGTAGAAAAACAAATAGCGTGTGTGCAACACAGTGCAGTATTTTGTACAGAATTTTCTTAAGGCCATGGCAGTCTATAAATTAAAACTTAAAGAACTGACTATTGACTACACTCTGCGTGCTCAACACATCTGGAAATGCACTGTGTATGTAAGTGCTGCGTAACAGAAGAAACAAAAGTCACACACGGTGTGAGGCAACACAGAAGCAGGTGTAGCGCAGAGCTTTATCCAGTACACAATATCAGAGTAACGATTTACAAGTTAACCAGTATTAATATGTCCCTTTATGTATATGGAGATCACTAAGCTACAAAACATGTTCATTTTCAGTTTTTATACGTTTCTGTATCATAGAAGCAAACAAAAGACAGCCTCACTTCCTCAGTTCTGTATGATTATTAAACAACCTGTAGACATTGCGCATGATTACATTAGATAAAGCAGGCAGGTCTAGAGTTGTCACAATAATCAAGATGTCTAATGGCACCAGACAAAAGAGTGCCATTAAGAGAAAAATAGGTAAGAGAAAAATAGGAATTTTATTTGTTTATAAGCATCTCTTGTGCTGAAAGTCAACGCTGTGACTGGATATGAAACATCAGGAGTCACAGTGTCACGCAGCAGCACTGAGTCAATGACTGGAGACAGGAGAACAAACAGGTGTTTGAACAAGACTGACATTCTTTTTTTTTTTTTTGAATTTTTTAATATTTATTTTTTAGTTCTTGGCAGACACAACATCTTTGTTTGTATGTGGTGCTGAGGATCGAACCCGGGCCGCACGCATGCCAGGCGAGCGCGCTACCACTTGAGCCACATCCCCAGCCCAAGTCTGACATTCTTAACAGATTTTATTATATTGGTTGGAATGCTCTAAATTCACGAAAGCTTGAGAAAATCTTCAATTCCCAACCCCTTAAAAAAGTGTGTTCAAAGGAAAAAAAATAGTAATGATCTGGACAGATACAAAACAGCATGCTCATTTCTTCCCACGTCCCCACTGCCATCTGCTGATAAGATTCTCAGAAAGCAGAACATTCTTAAAATTCACCAGGTAGGATGTCTCCAGTATAAAGAACCAACATTGATCTGGTGCCTCTGCTTTGCAGACCATTTTTTAATTCCTAAGGTGTAATTATACATTTCACATGCATTTGTGAGACAAGATAAACATTATGTTTATATCTCACATGAGTCAGGCTTAAAGGTTTTCTAAATACTGTGTGTGGCACTAGAAATTTCATGCTGTATCAAGTCCATATCAATATTAAGCTACTGGACTCTGTAATGAAATATTATAGATATTTACTGAAAACCAATATAAAACACTGGCCCAGAAAGACCAGTCTGGGAAATATGCGATTTTCTTGATTTAAGATGGTCGTGTGTGTGTGTGTGTGTGTTTAAAAAGCTCTACACACTGTTTAAGACAATTATGTGTGAGAAGCCTTTTCATGTATGCCGACTTTATCATGACAACTCTAGCTGATTCTTTATGAAGGATTAGGGATACACATCTTCAGCAGTGCACATGAGAAATAAACTCTGAAAAAGGCAATTTCTTGGGTTTAGGAAGGACCGTATTCTGGGAAGTACTTCAGAGGAACGGACAATAATTCTAGGATTATAGCCAAGAAGGACTGGAAGACTTCAGGAGATGTTTCAGCTTCTTCTAGATTTTGAATGTTGAATAAGCCACTGAAGTGTGATATCTAGAGACAGAAGGAAAAGTGAAAGTGTCAAGATACCAAAATTAAAAAACTAAATGTCAAACAGACAATACTTAACATGCAGCCATTTCAAGGCACATGGCGGTCTCTTCTGCTTCACTGTAGCTGTACTCCATTACCTGAGCTTCATGAGGATAATATGAGAAATTATCAGAGACTGGAGATGGAGAGTCTGCTCATTTAAAAATGAAATTGTGTAAAGAATAACTGAAGCCATCTTTTACTCACTGCCTATAACATCAATTATTGCATGTAAATTGACAGAAATGCAAAGATATGGGAGAGCCTCCTGTATCCCAAGACTTTTAAGTATGATAAAAAGACACAAGTAATCATTTGGGTTTGTGGTACCTTATAGAATGTCAGCCAAGAGACTGCAAAAGCCAAAGAATCAAAAAGGGCACAAACCAGTGTGCAACTAGGATGGACTGTGAGTGACAAGTGTGGCTAAAGCACAGGTCTGGAGGAGGGGCTGTCACTACAGCACGGGCCACAGCAAGGGTTCCACAGCCTTGCCCTTTTCACACTCTGAGCTGCATTAACACTTTCCTGTGTTGCAGGGTGAGCCTTTCCTGTGCTCTGTAGAATATTTTGCAGCATCTGTGGGCTTAACCACTACAATTCCCTTATCACCCCACATGCACTGTGACAACCAAAAACATCTCCAGACATTGCCAAATGTCTTCTGGGGAGCAAAATCATCCTGTGTTGAAAACCACTAGACTAGAGGGGGACAGATAACTCTGTACTCCAGTCTTATGTGCTAACAAATCAAGATTGTAGTCTCAGGTCAACAGGAAGTCACTGGAAAGTTATCAGCAGAGAAGGTCTATCAGTTTACTTTATTTAGTAAGCTAGCAATATCAACAAAAGGACAATGTGGAGGTTTGCCAAGATGGAGGCTGAGTATTCCAACTGGAACAGGAAAGATATAAAGGCCTGGAGGAAGCCAAGCACTGTATGGATGGAGTGGAATAAGGAACAGGTTGAGACAGAGAACTGACAAGAGCTGGTAAGTGACTATAGGTATTAAGTGAGAAAGAATCTTCTGGCCTGAATGAATACCTGTCATGTCCCTGCTAAGTAAGGCAGTAGCTCAAAAACAGCTCTGAGGGAAAAAGACAAAGAATGCAGCTGCGGACACATTACAATGTGGGGAACCACATGCCAAGGTGTCTAGCAGGTGAGGTAGCTCCGCAGATAAGAGAAGACATGGGGACTAGCAAGGTCTTCTCATCACATAGGTGGCAGATAAAGCTACCGCAGTTCACATCAATGAGAAAAAGAACACAGACTGAGGAGAAAAGGCAGTAAGTTAGGGATGCTGAATTACTGTTCTGTGTTCTCCCAAGACTGAAGCAAGAAGATCAAAAGTTCAAGGCCAGGGTTAAGGCTGTAGCTCAATGGTAGAGCACTTGCCTAGCATGTGTGAGGCACTGGGTTTGATCCTCAGCACCGCATAAAAATAAATAAAGGGGCTAGGGTTGTGGCTCAGTGGTAGCACACTTGCCTGGCATGTGTGAGGCACTGGGTTCAATTCTCAGCACCACATATAAATAAATAAAGGTCTATCAACAACTACAAAATAAATACATAGACAAGCAATCAAATAAATAAATAAAGGTATTGTGCTCATCTACAAAAAAAAAAAAAAAAAAGTTCAAGGCCAGCCTGGGTAACTTAGCAAGGCTTTCCCTCAAAGTAACATAGTAAAGGAGCAGGGGCCTAGGTATGAGAGAGCTCAATGTAAAGCACTTTCCTGGCAAGTGTGAATCCCTAAGTTCAATCCCTAGCACCACAAAAATAAATAAAGAATAAAGGGGGGTGTCGCCCACCTAAAGGATGTGAGAAACTATTAGAAGTAATTATATTCTCTTAGGCCCCAAGCCTAAAAGAAAAGTATAAATTTGATCTTCCAGTTTCCCAACTAACATGCATTAGAGAAAATGTAAGCAGCACACTATAAAGAAGAGTCTAGATCTGAGATATGAACAAATATGACCTGCTCACGGGAATAGGACTTAACACAACTGTTAAAACAGGTCCTTCACATCCCTACTGAGGCAGTAATAAGGAGGAAAGGTGACTCTGAAGTGAACAACCAAGTATACATGTTTAAGAAATTCATTAACAAACAAACAAAAACCTCTGTGGACACTGGACAGGCAATAATGCTCTATAGACAGATGAATCATTGAGGCCAGGTTAAAATGCAGAAAAGAAGTGCTCTATACAGATGGAGACTCATCTTCTAAGAAAAAAAAAAAAAAGTCACAGTATAAAGGGTCCTTGCAAAGATCATCTTCCCAGAGGTAATCTGTCCCCCATGTGATCTGAATGAAACTGAGGTATTTCATGTGCAACACAAATATCTAATGTGACTGTTAGTTTTATTTCTTGTTCAAAACAAAAAACAGACATTCTGATTTACAAACTACTCACTTTGATTCTAGTTTCCTTAGACTTGGTAACACAGACTTGGTAACACTTTAAGTGAATCAACAGTTTTGAAATTACAAACATGATGACTACTGACCCACCCAGCCTCAAACAGCATAAGTTCTCACCAGCTCTGCTGTATCTCCTGCATAACTGGGTTAAAGAGACCCCTCCCCCTCCACAGGAAATTTAGTTATTTTATGACATTAGTAAAATAAAAGATCATTTGTCTCCCTTCAAAGTTCTTGTTGTTTTCTATTTTAGGAAACACTTAAGAAAATAAAAGGGAGTAATGTCTTTATAGAATAGTGTGATGTACTAAAAATTACAGTTACTATAGAGCAAGGTTTCTCACCCTTGCAACTATTGATGTTTTATGCTGTTAATTCTCTGCTGTGGGGTCTGGATCAAGTCATCAACATCTCCAGTCTCTACTCAAAAGCGTGCATCACTTTCCTATTTGTGACAACCAAAAAAAAAAAAAAAAAAAAAAACAAAAAACAAACAAACCATCTCCTGAGGGGAAAATTCCCCACCAACAAACACAGGGGTAGAACAAATGCTCCCTTAGGAGCATGCCTTAAAATTTAACAAGAGTTTTCTCCACTCACACATAACAGAATTTTTTAAAATATAGTATTTGTAGAGGCTTTGTAGTGTCTGTTCTCAAATTAACTGAATGTTCCTGATATAACAAGTCACTTATTGTATCCACTTAATAAAGGAAAATTTGTGTCTATCAGGGATTACACTGCTTTTAGGTTATCTTTAAAGGAAATGGTCAGAATAGCTATCAACACTAAGAGCTCATCAGAACATGTCTGGAACTGGGGTTAGGGGGTTGGGGTAGGGGAGAGGAGGACAAACTGGAATTAAGTTGAAAAAACATTAAGTGTGATAAGATCCAACACATGCTGGATTATAGCCCAAGGGGGGAAAAAACATTAGAATTATTTTTAAATGTACTTTTATATACTATTTATTACATTTATTTGAATACATATTTGTTCAATAATCCCTCATGAAATTAGTTAAGAGACTGAAGTGAGCAGTAATTATATATGTATGCACGTATGGTATGTAAGCAGGTAGATATGTAAGGCCTTGAGAAGACAGACCTAAATTGAACAGTGTCCTCCTAAAAGTTCATGTCCACCTAGAATCTCAGAATGTGATTTTATTTGAAAACAGGGTCTCTGTAGGAGTAATTAGTTAAGATAAGATCATACTGGTTATGTGGGCCCTAATCCAACAACTTGTGTCCTTTAAAGAAGATATTATGTGCACACCATGGGAAAAAGCCATGTGAAGCATGACCATGAGGCAGAGACAGGAGCAATGCACCTATAAGCTGAAGAACAGCGAGCACAGTCGGCATCCAACACAAACTAGAGTGAGGCAAGGCTGGATCCTTCCCAGCCTTCAGATAGTGCATGAACCTGCCAACAGCTGTGATTTTCAACATCTAATCTTCTGGGCATGAGAAAATAATTGTCTGTTGTTAGAAATCACCAAGTGTATAGTACTCTGTTGTGACAGTTCTAAGAAATTACTACAGATATTATGTAGGTAAAGGGTATTCTTGGCTTATGCTTCCAGTAGAGAGGTAACACATTACAGTAATATACTGGCTTAATAACTGAAAAATTGTTACAATGCCTGTTTGTAATGTCTTATTTCAAAACTCATTTTGTTGTAAAGCACTGCTGGATAATGGATCTATGAAAATTAATACAATAAATTGGTATTACATAATGTTTAATCTCATGACTTTATTGAATTTATTTAAATAGTATATAAGATTTAGAATATTACATTTGTTGTCAAAACATATAATGTCTAAGCTTTATCTTGAGGCAAAAGCAATAGTACTCTGTAAAGTCACTTTATCAGAAATGGGGGAAAATGAACAGCAAGAAGTATTAAATATTCCTTCCAATGATACCCATTCCTTCCAAAAATATCAGTCATTTCTTACCTATATTATCCTTTTCTTTGCAAGAAATTGAATAGCAGCAAATTTCTCTATCCTGAATAGCAGACAGGTTCCTGTAAGAAACAGTTCAAAGAATAAATGTTTGCTTAAAATAGCTGTCACACTGACCACTCTGCTTGATTTTACTTGTTATTTTCATTAGTACACTGAAGAAATTATTTTACTACTACTAAAACTTTAGGGATTCACTTCTCTCGTAGGCCAAGTTTATTTACTAAAAAACAGGACTACAATAATTCCTGGATAATGTAATGATGCTAAACAGCACAGTGGGCATAATGTATGATTTAGAACTAAATTTTTAAAACAAGATAACTCATTCTTAGACATACATTTTTTCGATTAGCTGTTTCTCATCCAAGGCATTTGGAAGATCTCTCTTGTTTCCAAGTACTAGTACCTTTAAAATGAAAAGATATTAAGGATAAACATTTATATACAAAAATATCACAGAAGCATATCATTTTTATATCTGAAGATGTTAAAATTAATGTAAATACATACCTCAATACTAAAGCATATTTGCATAACTGGTGGCCTATCTCGTTCATTCAATTATTCATATTGATATTCACTTAATGCCTAACTCATAGATACCTTTAATTCGGTATGCAACTGCAACTTCTATTTAAAACATTCTAAGTTTTGAGCTGGAAGTGTAGCTCAGTGGTAGAGCTCACACATGTGTACAAAGCTCTGGGTTCAATCCACAGCTCTAAAAAGAAACCTTCTAGGTTTATGTTGTACATTGTTATTTCTCTTTTTTTTTAAATATGTTTTAGTTATTGATAGACCTTTATTTTATTTACTTATTTATATACGTAGTGCTGAGAACCAAACCCAGTGCCCCCATACATGGTAGGCAAGCACTCTACCGCTGAGCCACAACTCCAGCCCCAAGTACATTGCTGTTTCTTAATAAACCAAAACTAAAATAGGAACATATCTTAACCAAGGGTGGAAAGCCTTTCTTTCTTTCTTTCATTTTTTAATCTCAATCATACTTCGTGTGAACACAGAAACAGAATTTTAGTAAACCAGTATCCAGGAGCTGGGGACTTGACTCAGTGATAGAGTACATGCTTATCATGCACAAGGCCCTGGGTGTAATCTGTAGCAGCTACATAAATAATAAAACAGAATTTCAGGGTCCATTCTATAGAATATACTTATACAGTGTATACTTATACACTTATGAATACTCTAAGACAATGGATAAGTGTAGGCATCAGGATGAATACAGTAATTATATACTCTGTTATCATGACTGTTATATAAATATGCTTTCAAAAGAAAGCAGAAACAACCTTCTCAATTACCGTTCTAACTTTCCCCAATACCCTTAAATCATTCATTCCTACCCTCTTTCTTTGTCTTCCTCCCTTTGTGGTACTGGGGACTAACACATGCTATGCACAAGTAGCTCTACCACTGATCTACATCCCCAAAAGCCCACCACCTCTTTTTAAGAGGGGTGTCACTAAGTTGCCTCAGGCTGTCCTGAACTTACGACCTTCCTGTCTGAGCTTCCTGAGTCACTGGGATTACAGGTGTGCATGGCCACCACACCCAATCTTAAATCAGTTTTCTACTGCTTGAAAGTGAGAATCCTTATGATGACCAAATAAAACTGATTTTTATTTATGGTATACAGAATTAGTCTTTAATATGGAAGAAAAAGAATAAGACCTGAAGTCCGAAACAGATTCAAACCTGGCCTTGTGATAAATGTCTAATGATGGCTACGAAGATGGGGAAAAAAACACTAATCTCAGTATGTTGCGAGGATTAATGGAGGTAATGTAACTGAAGTATCAGGCCCTCATGATTTTATTGAGAGGCTAAAGCTGGTCCTCCCCAGCATTCCTTAGCCCAACTAATGGCACCACCTTCCATCTAACTGCAAGAGCCAGGAGCCAGAATTCCTCTTTATCCTTCACTCTTAATTCATTGCTTCATCTGTTGGACTATACTCCTACATGTCTCTAAAATCTATTTCCTTCTCCCCATGTCATTCACAATACTACCCTAATCCAACATCCTACAATTTGTCAGGGCTACTAAAACAGCTCCTAAATCTGTCCTCCTCATAGTTCCTTCTTGACCACTTCGATTCATTTGTAACTATAATCAGAGTGATATATTCAAATACTAAATCTGATCCTTGCAAATACTTCAGTGATTTCCCACAGTCCTGCTCAGTGCGGCCTCTAGTGTCCCAGCTCCAACATTGCAGGCCATGCTCTACCCCATTCTCCCCACTCAACTCTGAGCTCTAGGGCCTACTTCCTACCACCAAAAGGCCTTCCTTGTCCTTCCCCTCCAGCTGTCACACCCCACACACTCCTATACATCCTTCAGCTCTCAGTTCACACATCACCTCCTCAGACTCCTTCCTCTTACCCTAAAACGATATAAAACCTCCCCTCTAAATGTCATCATAGAAATTATCAGAGAAGCATTATTTAGCTGTTTACAGACCATGTATCTTGCCCACTAAGCCACAAGCTCCATGAGCGCATGCAGTATGTTTTTACTCACTTCCACGCAACACCATATCCCTGTTGCCTAGGAGTTTAGCCAATGCCTAGGACATGGCAGATAACTCAGGAAATATAAATCTTTCAGACCTTTAAAAAGACGACATTTTACTAATTTCAAACATAACATGAAATCAGCTCTCTAAATCCACAGGTTTGACATCCATGGATTCAAACAAATGAGGATCAAAATTATTTTTTTAAAAAAGTGAAACTAATATACATGTACAGACTTTTTTTATAGTTGTCAACCCTAAATACTGTTAACTACTTATATAGCATTTATAATGTATTGGTATTATAAGTAATCTGGAGATGACTTAAACAACATGGGAGGATGTATGTAGAGTACATGCAAGTAATACGCCATTTTGCATAAGGACTTCCAGGCACAGAGGTGCACACCTGTATCCTAGCGGCTCAGGAGGTTGAGGCAGGAGGCTTGCAAGTTCAAAGTCAGCCCAGCGACTTAGCAAGACCCTGTCTCTAAGTGAAATATTTAAAAGGGCTGGGGATGTGGCTAGTGGTTAAGCACCCCTGGGTACAATCCCTGGTACCAAAATATCAATAATAATAATAATAATAAATAATAATAGGCCATTTTTATATCCATAGAAGGCCCCAGAACTGATCTCTGTGGATCCTTAGTGACAACTATTATCCTATAATTATAAATGTAAAGTAACACATAACCCATACTTACAGGAATTCCTTGTAACTGTGGTTTATCTAGAAGATTATGTAGTTCATTTCGAGAGGCTTCTATCTTATCACGATCTGCAGCATCTATCATGTAACTTAAAAAAAAGAAATGATCAATATGCCTTTTCCATGTGCCTTGATGATGACAACTAGGACATAGATTTTTAATTTTCTTAAGATTTAATGTTATTAAAATTGTTAAAAGTCCTAGATAAAGAAAAGCTCAGCATTTATAAACGCTTTCAGCAAGTGTTTGTAGAGACTTAATACATGCTAGCATTTATGTCCTGTAGCTCTTAGCTACACAAACAAACATAAATAAAGCTTTCATTCTACAGTTGATTTTTTTTTAACTCTCATGTTAATGAAATTACACTAAGAAATTAGAAAAGAAAGATTTTTATTGCCTGACATAAAGACCTAGACTTCGGAAGTATTAAAACAACCTTCTCCTCAGAAGCCTAAATTGATTTAAATTTTTAACAAAGCTTACACGATGGCATTGACTCCTCTGCAATACCGTTCCCACATGCTCCGGAATCGGGGTTGTCCTCCTATGTCCCAGATCTTTAAATTAAGACAAAACAATTCTCAATAAAGGTATTTCAAATACTTCACTGAAGGAAGAATGGGAGAGAGATCAGGAAGACATATTTAATCTCACAGTGTGTCAAAGTGCTCCTAAAAACTCAAGCTCAAATAAGCTCTTAATCTGGGAATTCTTTGGGGCACTTCTAAACTTGATGTCCATATTTAATACGCTAACATTAGATCTAAAACTCTGCTTGAGCAAAGACTTGGTTCATGTGCCATAATTTCTTCCTTTTCCTGTTAACTCATACACTTCTAATACTAAAAATGTCTTTAATGTAACAATTTCAAAATCTACAGAACCATGAATCAGCCAGATTTCAATCCCAAGATAGAAAACAACAGTTCAGAAGCTATTGTAAAGTTCAATTGTCTGAATGCCCAATCTTTTTAAGTTATCCTATGAACAATACAGCCACCATTCCCACGTAGGTGTTTTTCATAATAAATATTAAGCCTATTCTGTACAGAACCATGTTGATCACTGAGCTACATAAAACTCTTAAGTCATGGTATTTACTTTCAAGGTTTCCAACTTAGCTAGGTACCAGAAAAATGTATAAAGAGACATATATATACATGACTAAATAAGGAGTTTCATCCAGAAAAGCCAAAGAATTTAATGAACAGATTCTACAAATTACAAGAACTGGGCAAAACAGTCATTATGGTCCAGGCCATTTTTAGAAATAAATGTCCATGAAAGATTGAATCAAAGCATCAAAAATAACCCCAATGAGGTGCTGAGGATGTGACTCAGTGGTAAGTGCCTGCCTAGCATGCCTGAAGCACTGGGTTCAATCCTCAGCACCACATAAAAGTAAATAAATAAAATAAATGTATTATGTCCATCTACAACTTAAAAAAAAAAAAAAAGGCAATTAGTAACTGTTAAAAAACAAAGCAAACAAACAAAAAAAACCAATGAAAATGCTAAAATATTATCCCTAACAATGGTTCAGGATATAAACCTATTAAACTCATTCTGAAAAGAAAATCATGTTAAAGAACTAGTTAACTTTTTCCTATTTTATAGTTTCAATTTTAAGCTTAGAAGAAGAAAAACTGGGTGATGGTATTGTTGCCAAAGACATAATATCAAATTATCAATATTATAAATAATTAATTCCCTCTCAGTATAAAATATTATTCATGAAACAATGTAATGCCACAATCCAAACATGCTGAAGATGAGATCTTTATTTCTTGGGAATACCTAGATCCCAAATATCACTTCTACTAATCCATATGCTAATTTTTAATGGCACTTAACATTTCAACTCTTTTTTTTAATGTGTCTTTTTTTAATATTTATTTTTTATAATATTTATTTTTTAGTTTTTTCAGCGGACACAACATCTTTGTATGTATATGGTGCTGAGGATTGAACCCGGGCTGCCCACATGCCAGACGAGCGCGCTACCGCTTGAGCCACATCCCCAGCCCAACATTTCAACTCTTATACATTCTTTATGAAGAAACAAAAATGATTACATGCCCATTCATTACCTAGGAACTGCAAAATACTCAAGCAAAACCAGAGAAACAGGGAAAATTTCCAAGCTGTGTATTCTAACCATGGATTATAGAAAAAAACTGACGTACCTTTATTGTGACGTTACCTTTAGTCACTTTCCTCATGTTGAAGCCCACTGTGGGTATCATATCTTCACTGAATTGACCTGACTAAACAAACAAAATGTCTGGAGTTAGATGAATCAGTATTTATAAAGAGAATAATCTTCTAGCATCAACACTGCGTCTGTACCCATTTTAGCAAATAACTCATATTTTAGTGGTGCTAACAAACTACTTTAAGAAAATGTTCCTCATAGCCCCAGCTCTTAAAGAAGAACATTACTTTGCTCATATAAAACATATTATTCCATTAAAAAGACACTTTGGAAACGAGGCATCTTACATTACAAACACTTATAAAATGTTAACATTCATTGCTGAATAGTTTTTATGAGTTAGTCTTTTAATAATAAGGCTCATAAAATGTTGTCATATAGCAGTTTTCCTTTTACATAATCAACTGTCCTTTTGGGCTTCTATTCTCGATATCATAAGACTACAACTAAATATTTGTCATAGTATTCATATGACTTTTTCACATTTAAAATATTCATCAGTTTGGAACTTGATTATATACTTAAAGGAAGATTCTATTTCCAAATGACTAACCTGTAATCATCCCACCATCAATTTAAAAATCTACTATTTCATTTAGTAAGATAGAAATTAGGTGCTTCATGTAAACATTTAAGGATGAAAGATATATCCAATTTTCCAATTTACTTCTTGAATTTCCTGACATTTACCACTTCATTGTATAAATAATTACTGAACTTCTTATTGATCTACTGAGCAAATATTATAGCTTTTTTATATATTTATAAATACTTTTCCTGGGTTCCTATGGGTTGATGTGAGGAATAGGCTACCTATTAAGCACAAATAAGAGCAAGTGATTTATTCTAAAGTCATCACTAGGTATTGAGACATAATATTTTATGTTTTCCATTTGGGTGAAGCATGCATACCTTGTAAAAATGTACCTAAAGAAAAATGGGCAATTTATGATAAACATTTTTATTAAATTAAACCTGAGAAAAGGTCCACTTTGCCCAACTAATTAAGAGTGATCTGCTAAATACTATACAAAGAAAGGTGGGTTCTCAATTTTCACCAGTCTGTTTATTCCTGAGTAAACACTAGGGTTTTTTGTGTTTTTTTTTTTTTTAATCAAAGCTTATTCTATGTATTATTGTACACAGTAGATCAAGAATTTGGAGCATTTTCAAATTGCCTTCCTGCATCTCCCACCTTCCAAGTAAACTGTAGAAATTAATAATTTTAATATATCAGCTAGAATTATACTAAAGACATTAACTTAAGAAGAACAGTCCTTTATCAACTCTTAATATCTAACCACTATGTGGTCTCAGGCATGTGGTTATCTACTGAGTCATTCCAATCTTATACCTTTCAGAAAAGTATCAAAATTGGCATAATTTCTTACAAATTTCTTGCCATATTTTTTGACAGCTATTGTGAAAGACATCTTAATGAGCCATAGTAAATACTGACTTATGTATTTATATTCCAGCTGCTTTGGCAAAAAGGTTAATGAGTTAACCTTTTTAGATAAGCATACTAAGAGTAATGAGTATCTCAACACCTAAATGGTTAAACAAATAAGACTAGTTTCAAGGACTGGTTAAATAAATAAGACAATTTTTATTTTCAAGGCCCTAACCCTAGCCAATTTTTTGTATAACTTAAGCTAGCCACTATAAGTCCCAAGCAAACTAAATTCCCATTTTATAGAACTCCAAAAGTTCATTCATTCTCTCCTGTTCAGTGGTGTTTTGGTTGAGAAAAAATGTTAGCACAACTAATCATTAACTTCACTTATATTAGACATTAATTCTCAGAACTTTCATATATATGAACTGTGTGACAATCTATTCATGAATCAAAACTAGATATATCAAAACTAATCATAATAGGGCTGTAGTTGTGGCTCAGTGGTAGAGCACTTGCCTGGCACGTGTGAGGTACTGGATTCGATCCTCAGCACCACATAAAAACAAAAATAAAGATATTTAAAAAACTAATCATAATAGAAGATATACAAATAGCCAATAAGCACATGAAAAGATGTTCAATGTCACTAACCATTAGGGAAACACAAATCAAAACCATAAAGAGATAGCACCCATTAAGATGGCTACTAAAAATATAAACAAAAGGGGTTGGTATAGATGGCAAATTCCTATAATTCCAGGAACTCAGTAGGCTGAGGCAGGAGCATCAGAAGTTGTAAGTCAGCCTCAGCAAGGCCCTGTCTCAAAATAAAAATAAAAAGGGCTGGGTATGTAGCTCAGTGGTAGAGAACTCTAATGTGCATGAGGCCCTGGTTTAATCCCTAGGATTGGGGGAGGGGACAGGGACAATTAGTTAAAATCTACCAGTAGGTTCCCTGGGCACTCCCCATTCCTAGGTTACAGAAATGTCAAAGAGGTAACTGTCAGAAAAGTATAAAGCAGAGAATGTCTGTGACTGAAACCAGATGCACAGACTTTCAAACCACAAGACTGAACAATCACATTTTCTTAGGGTCATAAGGACACTTGGTAACACTTGGTAACCTCCAGACCAAGATAGTTGCTCACAACCCACATTCCAGAACTGGTCACCTCTCAAGACAAACTACCATGGCGCCAACCTACCTGAGACTTGAGACATTTCCACAAAAGATTCAATATAAACCTTTTTTGTTCCTGGTAAGGAAGACAGGGGAACAGCCTCCTATCTCCCTTGATGTAGGCTTATTGCTAACGAAACATTTTCCTCTCAAAGTTATTGGCTCTCTAAAGATGGCAACACAACCAGACTTTGTACAGTTAAAGTTACCAGCCTCAGGTATTTTATTACAGTAACAGAAAACAGTCTAGACCATAAGATCCCACAATTCCTTTTCTGGGTACATATCCCAATGAACTGAAAACAGAGACTTAAAAAGACATTTTGTATATCTATATTTACAGCACTGTTATTCACAATAGCCAAAAGGTGGAAGCAACCCAAATGTCCTTGAGCACAAATGAACAAGATGTGATATATACATTCCATAGCTACAGCATGGATTACCATGAAGACATCATGGTAAGTGAAAATAAGCCAGTCTCAAAAAAAAAAGAAAAAAGAAAAAAAGACATTTTCTGATTTCACTTATAGAAGGTGCCTAAAAGGAGCCAAATCCATAGAAACAGAAAGAATGGTGGGGACTGAACACATTCCTAGCATGTAGCAAAACCTGAGTTCAATCCCAGCACTGGGAAAAAGAAAACAAAATGAAGGTTCCCAGAAGCTGGGGGAAGAGACACTGAGGAACTCCCTTTAGTGAACACAAAGATTAAAAAAAAAACTTCTAGAGATCGACAGTGGTTGGTCACACAAAATGTATTTAATACTATGGAACTGCACACCTAAAAATGGTTAAGGGGCCAGGCACCATGGCACACGCCTGTAATCCCAGCAACTGAGGCTGAAGCAAAAGGATGGCAAGTTCAAGGTTAGCTTGAGCAACTTAGCAAGACAAAACAAAGCAAAAAGTGCCAGGAATATAGGTCAGGGTTAGCACAGAACTGGGTCCAAACCCTAGATTCAAGTTCTAATACTGTGAAGTGGAAAAAAAAAAGTTAAGATATTTTCCTTATTTTCCACATTTAAAAAAAAGAAAAAAAAAAAGTCATGACATAGGAAGAGGCAAATCATTACCATTTTATAGAAAAAGGAAATAGATTTCCAAGTACCTTCTGGCAGTAAAAATTTGTGACTATAAACGTTATAATGCTACATTACAATAATAAAATGATGTACAGAGCTGCAGTTTACTGGGGTATGCATCTCTTCATTATTTCTCAGACAGCAGGTGCTAACAATAATTTTCCTATAATTTAGTTACTGTTGATAATGCGGAACAACTGAAAATTAGGTAAGCAAGTATACTTGAGTTTTTATTCAAAATATCTTGCGTTCAGCAAGATTCCCATAAACATGTGTTGAACACACTAAGAATTATTAAGCTACAAAGGAGGAAAATACTGAAACTCTTCTATCAATAAAGTACTTACAGGGCTGGAGACAAAGCTCATCGGTACAGCACTTGCCTAGTTGGCACAAAAAAAACGTGGTTGGGCAAAATAAAACTGTAAAGAGACTATCCTCAAAGTCAGGGAATCAGTAAGTCATGAGACCCACTTTGAAATTCAGCTTCCATATCCAGAAGGAATTGGAATACTATCTCCAAAGTCACAGAAAGTTCTTAACATTTATGGTTTTATGTTTTACCATAGGTCTTTCAGTTAAAATATATTTAAGTAAGCAGATAAATGCCTACAGCAGTGGAAAAACAATGCCAACTCCATCATGCAGAATTTACTACTAGATTTCAGAAGTGAGACAAATGGAAAAGGGTTAAAAAAAAAATTAAAGGGAAGAGAGAAACCAACGTAAAGTCAACACCAGGAAAGCAAAAGACATGAGACAATGAACCTATATTAGTTAAAGAATTTCACCAAAGACACTCTGACACTTCAAAACAATCTGGATGGGGGAGGCATCAACTTTGTGTTTCAGTGTAGAGATGTGCTGTGCTTTGATTACTTATAAACTGTGATATCTGACCCTGCTGAGAACAGAATGAAATCCTCGCACATTTCAGTCTTTTAAAGTAGGATCATTCTACATGGACTAGACTAGATTTTACAATTGTTCTTTTAAATGAACTAATTCAGAAAGCATGCTATTAACAACATGGGAAAAGAAGTTTCTCTCTGTTTGACCTGTATATCTATACTAGCAATCAAATATGATATAATAAACTTTAAAAGACAGTGGAAAAGTACCTTCTCTGACAAACAACTCATAATAGTTTTTTTTTTTTCTCCAAGAATTTTTTTTTTAAGGTACTGGTTATCAGGCTGCTTTATAAAAACAGAATGAAATAAGGAACACCACAAAAATCTCTTATTAAATTTCTGCTTTTAGCCTGAAAAAAAAAAAAAAAACTTCTTTTCATGTGCCAAGTACAGTGGTCTTGTTTTAAGGCTGAAGATATTTCACAGTAAAGGAAGCTAAAGAGACACTACAACCAAATGAAGTATTTGACCCTA